GAGATGTCAACGCCAAAAAGTGAGCTCAGTTCACGGATCCATAAACCTAAATAAATAGCAGAATACTCCCAAGCCACACAGTTCGGTATATAATTATCATGCGTGATGCGTTAGCCGAGATCGGTAAAATATTCAATAGACAGGTACTGAAGGTAACAAATCAATTGAATGTGATAGCGGAAGGGGCAAAAGGTTACGGAAGTTGTTTCTTTGTTGAGGATCGAAACTGGTGCATAACCTAGTGACCCAATTCCAGAAAATGCTCGCTCATTATCAACAGGTGGAGGTGGTAGATATGTCAAAGAATGCTGACACTGTCAGAAAAGGTTAATCCAAGATTATCAATTCCAAACTCGTACGTCGACAGAATGGTGGGTAACTTAAAGCGTCTCCGAAACTGAAGCTGGTCCTTTAAACTGGTAATTACAATTAAACCTAGGATTTGATCCCTGCAATTAAAACCCTAAAATAAATTCAAAGGTAACCCTCTTCGCTGAACCAAAAATGTACATACCTCTCTAAATAAGAGGGCTAATTATAGATGAATGCAACAATCGTCGATGGAAAATTGTATAACAAATAATATAAAGAACGATACGCTTCAAGTACATACATAAAATGCAAATGGCGTACTTACGAAGAAGACGCAAAAAACACAACTATATCCGCTCTATATCGGAGTTAAGGTGAATCCGTCCAATACAATTAAAAGAATTCAATTGCCAAAGATTAATAAAATGTGGATGGCGGCTATTAAAATTCCATGCGTTTTCACTAACGCCTCGGCTGTTTTTCAAACGAAATGCATTCTGTTACAGCTCATCAACGAAAGAGGAAGACCTTGAATTTCATTAGGAAAAACGGCATTACCCGAAGCTCTAAGATTCAGATGTCCACTTCTTTATGCTGTTCCGAAAAATCGCTTACCTCGTTACAGATATGAGAAGTGCCACCACTATCCAGGCACCATTTTCTTTTTCTATTGTCATTTGCCACAAATAATGATTCACTGGCAAACAAACTTGTGTGATTAGTCCAGTCATATTAGTGTTTCACCTCGGAATGAAAGATAATAAGCTATAAACTTGCGTAAACCTTTATTTTGTCATTCTGAAAGTTGTCTCAAAAGTCACATAAAATCTCGTGTCCGCGTCTCAAAAACCGTTTTTTTGCAAATATCTCGTTTCCTATGGTTTTAATACCAGTTGTACTTATTATACAAAGTGTAGGGAATAAAATTATCTACAACTTTTACCCCAAACATTTTTCTGTATACTCAACGGTTATTGAGATAAATGACGGTGAGCGCGCGGCGCTTAGTGGTTTACAGTGTAATTCAAGGTCAACCGTAAGTCCAGGTATAAAGATTATAAATCGTTAAAAAATATATAATTATAAATAATTTTCATTGTTTATTAATTAACGATGATAATATAGTGATGTTCTATTGAATTGCATTAATTTACTTGCAGTTTAAGTTCAAATTTTTCAAAATCTTATAATTAGCAATATTTGAGTATTCAATTTCTTCTTCATCATCATCACCGACGAAAATTTGCAATTCAATATTATTATCGTTGTCAAGGACATTTGTTTCCAGATCTTCCAGAATTTCGGGGTCAAATGCACTGTCTTCATCGAGATCACTTTGATAGGGTGAAGTGTTAAGGCACGCTTGTCCATTACACTGGTCGCAAGCTATAGAACATTGCAACCCCTATTTCCTGCACCCACAGCGTGAACCACAACCATTCTTGCAGTTGCAAAATATTGCATTATTAAGCAATTCATCTGGACTTACGGTTGGCCTTGAATTAGACTGTAAAGTGTAAACCACTAAGCGCCGCGCGCTCACCGTCATTTATCTCAATAACCGTTGAGTATATAGAAAAATGTTTGGGGTAAAAGTTGTAGATAATTTTATTCCCTACACTTTTTATAATAAGTAAAAATGGCATTAAAACCATAGGAAACGAGATATTTGCAAAAAAACGATTTTTGAGACCTTTGACCTTGAATATCTTAAGACGCGGACACGAGATTTTATGTGACTTTTGAGACAACTTTCAGAATGACAAAATAAAAGTTTACAGAAGTTTACAGCTTATTATCTCTCATTCCGAGGTTGGCCTTATTTTTTGCCTTAAATGACTGGACTATAATTGGTACTTTTCGCATGATACCTGCTTTTGTACCTAGTTATAACGACTGTATAGTTGAAAAGTATAAAGCATAAACTGCAAACTGCATTAAAAATGACACTGATTGTTTTAATTATTTTGAAATCTCTATGGAAACAATTAAATAAAGTGATTTTAGCATGCGTGATTAGGTATCAAAATTTCACACATATGAATAATTTAATTTGGAAACGTTATGTACATGTTGTGGTTTGAGGTAAAATTTTATACATAAACATAATACGTCATGAAAGTGAGTCCACCTGACTTGGAGGCGTCCTCGTACATGTAAACGACCACTTTCATGACTTATTATGTAAATAACTGTAATAAATAATAATATTACAATCAGTGTCATTTTAAATGCAGTTTTTAGTTTATGCTTTGTACTTTTCAACTATACAGTCTTTATAACTAGGTACAAAAACAGGTATCAGTGAAGAAGAGTACCTACGCGAGACGTTTTTATAATGTAGCCGAAGCTGCGGCCGCCGTAGTGCAATATTCGCTCCCCACAAAGTCAAGAAAGAGGTACGAAAAAGCGAAACCTTTTAATGACTAGCGCAAAACTAAAGGAATAATTACTTCCACACATATTCCATTAATTGTTAGTAATTAAAAAACCATTATCCTTTGTGTAGGTATATTAATATTTAAAAATATCCACATAATCGGCATTACAATTATCCAATCGTTGATTGAATAACTTATTCCATGAACGATCTAATTGTTATTTTGTATGTACTAGGACTGTAATGGGAGTCAGGCAAAATATTACAGTACTAGTCAGGTAAAGATCAACTTTCTAATGTCAAAATAGCCCTGAGATTTTCTTGACGGTTTCAGGTAAATGTCTTAAGACGCCGTCTTAGCACCAGTGTGTAACTAGCCTAAATGTCAGCTTTTGCCCAAGATAAAACGGCTGCCATCTATGCGTCATCTTCTGTATCCAGAAATAGACAGTGTTAATAATAATTCATGTGGAAAGGAATTGGACTTGAAACATCTTTACAAAATTAGAAAGGACATATACCTATTCAAACCTAATTAAAAGCGGGATACTTATATCTCTACCCTTACGATTTTTCCGAGGGTTTTTCAGAAGAAAATCCAATAAGAAATGGAAGGTTCAGTACCTCTGTGAGGATAGTTTCAGACGAAAAAAAATTGATGAGATCTTTCACATCAAACAAATAGGCGTAAAAGAAATTCGTCGAGCGCTTTAGAAACCACCTGGAAAAAATTCAACTTTCTCGAACAAAAGAATTGTTATGCAAGTCCCCCGGTTACCTCTTCACTTTATTATAGCAACTATTAATTAAATTTAACGATTTGTTATTGTACGTACAAAATGTGGCGTGCATTTTTAGGAATGTTTCTAGGTAAAACATTTGGTATTCAACAAAGTGAAAACGTTTCAATTGTTTTATAGTTTTCTAACATTCACGTGTGCATAAAATGAACGTAATTGATTGTGCCCTGAATATTTTTGAAAGGAAATTTTGCCTTACTTTCCGCATGCTGAGTATTGTTTCTCCATTATTAACCTTGTGATGAGGTATTCCTTTTTTGAACGCTTCACTTAATCGTATTTAGTTACAACGGTATAAGTGAGGAAATTGTATATTTTAGGGGTTTCCTGTAATATCAAATGGGAAGTTAATCGGAAATTAATGTATAAATTCGGTATTGGGTGCACCTGTACGGATGATTCAGCTTATTGCGTAAACATTTTGCAACAGACCATCGGTGATGCATTTAACAAGCTGTCTTTCAATTTCGCAATAAATAGTGTTAAATGTTGAGCTTGAATTGATGCCTTACGGGATACTTACCTGATTGACTGACAATTAACTCAACAGCTTATGATTATTAGATAAGTTTAGAACTTACATAATCATAATTACAGATTGATGGAGATCCATCTGCAATATTAGCGCACGAACTATTGAACGACAGGTTTATTTAGGTTTATTCGAGATTGCAATCCCCCATCACGAACAAGGGCAATTCAGCCACGAAGTATGGGTGGAGTTCCGCAAGGTAGCCGTTTAGGACCTCTTCTTTTTTGTTGTTTGTGGGTACCGTTCACCACATTGTCATTTATTCTTACATTTTCTCCCGCAGTTTTCATTGCTTTTCGTTTTACAATTTTTGTTTGTATCTGTTGCAGGACCATGTCTATTGGTGGTGTTTTATATTGCAGCGCGTTTTATGGGAGTTTATAATCTTGGTTAAGTAAAGCGTTTCTAATTAATGTCCAATTGAGCAATTATTGCCCTACAGCAGTCCAAGCCTAATGAATTTTGCTGACAATTAAACGCCTACGGAATTTAGTTTTTTGTTCGCATAACTGTTTCCAGAGTTTCTCAAAGAAGTCGAAAAAATGTGGCCGTGAAACGCATTCATCACGTGAGAGTATAATGTTGGTTTACACATGGATATAGAATAACAACTGGTTATGCGAATATAATATTTTATTGCTTTAATATACAAACTATGCACGCTTTATTTTAATTGTGCAACTATCGTATCAAGAATGCAAGTTATTTTATATGATAGTTTAAGAGAAGAAAAAATCATCTGGGCTTGTTATCCATGCGTAATTTAATTACAGCGTATCGATACCTACAAATCCCCGGCATGGTTTTGATTCATTACATCTACTCTTAAAATTAAATTACGTACCGCATTTACTTAAATTGAATTTCACCAGTTTTTATTATGCCAATATTTTGCATTCTGCTTTTATGAGATTGTTTATTATGCCAACACTTTAATTTGAATTTTATTATTCAACCTTGTTTTCTTTATTTACAGGACTTTTGACAGCAAGATGTAGGCGCTCTGGATAGAAGAATTTAACACGAAACGAAGGTAGGCTAGTGATACTTTGCTCAGATATTTACAGATTGTATACTTTAATTTAAAATAGCCCCTCCCCGCACCTCATTTTTGCACCTAAGTAGAAACTGCAATGGACACTGGGTATAGCGAGTTACCGACGTTACCGTGAGTAAGTGTGGGATATGTAGGAAATTTGGCGATCAAACTCAAGGAAATATCCTCCCAATTTAAGTACTTTCTCTATCATGCCATTTAAAATTTAATGTTTTGTGGCGCAAGCGCTAAATGGTATAGGGGTGTAATGGAATTTTGTCATAAGACATGCTCCGTTGGTTTTTTCAAACCTTTTCAAAAGTATTTTTTTGAATTTGTATTTTATTCAACATCTGTACCGCTTCTTAGCGAACGTGAACGAAAGTATGTCTGGCGATAACAAGAATAGTTAATAATAATGCGCAAAAAGTTACGGAAGTTGTCTCTTTGTTGTGGATCGATTCTTGCTATCAAATCCCGTTCATGACCCGGTGACCCATTTCCAGCAAACGGCCGCTCGTTATCCGCGGATGGAAGATATGTCAAAGGCGTCGGTACTCGCAACAAATGGTGAATGTAACCCAATGTTACATGCTCGTACGTCAACAGAATGGTAGCCGAAACTTAAGCTGGTCCTAACCGTTGAATTACATTTGAATTTAAACCGGTCATTTAAACTGGTAATTACAATTAAAAGTAGAATTAAAAACCCTAAAAAAATCAAAGGTAACTCCTTCGTTCATGTCATAAAATTTACATACCTCTTAAATAAGAGGACTAATTATAGATGAATGCAACAATCGTCGATGGAAAACTATCGTATAACAGATGACACCCTAAAGAAAAGGTACACTTCAATTAAATGGCGATACTTACGATAAAGAAGAAAAACACAATTATATCCTCCTACGGAGTTAAAGGCGAATCCGTTCATTAATTATTCCAGAATCCCAAATTTAATGAATCCAATTGCCAGACATTAATAAAATATGGATGATGGCAATTAAAATTCCATGCGTTCTCAACTAACGCTTCAGCTGTTTAATTAAAATGAAGTGCACTTTGTCACGGCTCACAAAAGAAAGAGGAAAATGAATGTGGACAATCGATAACCACAAATCACGGCGCGGTAAAATTGCATGGTTTAAATTCTAACAATAGATGGAGCCATCTATTTAAAAGTTTTGAGGATCTTTCAAGTAAATATCGTGAGATAAAATATCGTAGATCGTAATTACTATGTAGTTTTAGCTTAAGTGCAGCATCCCAGTGCCATGCAATTGGAATACTTGCATTCTGTATGGTATCTGGCTAAACAAATAAATAAATAAATAAAATATACCGTGAACACTAATAATGCTTGTAATGAAGAAAATAAACCGTTACAAAATTTATATTTCATTTAAGTGATAATACTGCTTTGTTCGAATTAAATTACATGCAATAGTGTGTGTACACTACTTAAAAAAACGTCTGTCTAGTTAACTGAAAACAAAATTGAAAGTTACAATTTTATAATCTCACCTCGCTACGCATCCAGCAAAAATCCTAATATTGACTTAAAATTTCTGTAATCGAGAGACTCAGTGGACTCGATCAACTTCCGAAAATGCCAAAGAATCTATTAGTCAAGTTTCCACAGACTTTTACCACTTCACTTTACGATAACTGTAATCTTAATTAAGATCGCTGAACTTATTCTACACACTTCAACCCAACAACTAGGACTGCCTGCTCAAGAATTAGGTAAACAAATTTACACGTGTTCTTTACCGTCGGGAAGGCTAACAGAGCTTCCACTATAATCTTCCACATAATCTCCTTCAGGATTTTCAAAATCACCGCCAATCACAATTAGACTTGATAACGCCAGCTTCGAAGGGACGCGTCCCGACTTACGCCGAACTAACGCGCAATTCTTCGAAACACTTGCATCTTCGTTATCAACTCTCGATGTGCCTTAATTAATTTTCACGCGATAAATCTTTATCGAAAACGACCAGATGTATTTTACATTTTAACACGCAATTTCACATTTTACACAGATTTAAATAAACAATTTATAAAAGCGATAAAATTTAAACAAGAAAATATTACGCAATCACAAACAATTCTAAAAAGAAAAATAGACACCAGAGACAACAAATTCAAATAAAATAAATCAATTTTGTGTTTATTCGTATGTAATACCTCAGATTTACTTAATAAATATTCTCATATACCGGTATTTATTTTGGAATTCATATTTATTCGCCTGCAATCAAACCAGAGCGTCAAGTTTTGATTTTCAGAATTAAAAAGGCATACTTTAAAGTGAGAACAGTAGAATGTATGATTTGAGTTTCTGTTCACTAATACAATTTATATTTAAAAAGTCAAACTTCCGCAAGGTAAGGTGTATTTAAATTTTGTTAGAGGCGTGGGTAAAATTAATTGTGATATAAAAATGTTGACCAGTGCCGTACGGCGTAGAGGATCAATTTTATTTAGTACGAACGGGGGGCTCAACACTTGTCTTGTAACTAACCGTTGCAATATCACCTCTCTCCTTCTAAATATTTGTTTGCAACTTTTTTTAATTTATTTAGGTGAAATTAGCAGTAGATCCTTCTAATGGAATATCCAAAGTCAAGAGGATTTTATTAAATTTTGTTAATTCTGAACTGTTCTCGTTTCTAAGAATATGCTCCGAGACCATCACCCGATAACAATTTCATTTACACATCATTTTGTTACCGTTTTTGTTCGCCCCACCGTATACATTTTCTAATAACAATTTTTATTTGATGTATAAAACCAATCCAATCCATAGTTTCGAAGCCGCATGATTCTAAAATCGTATGCTAATGAGGGATTGTCCGATCGCAAAATTGGACTATCGCGTTCAATACCCAATTACTGTCAATATTATTAATAGGTATATCTTTAGCTTCATTACTGTATATCCTTTTCAAATCAACTCTTTTGTTCATATTTAATTAATAAGGTGCGCCTATTTCATTTTGATTGCACGAATTAACAAATCCATTTGCACGAGATAAATGGATAATAATCAGGGTCTATGTACGAAAACTTAATTTAGTAAATGGTACTTACAATTTCATACCGTAAAGAGAATAATGTTCATTGGTCGTTATCTTTATTACGGGGCCAATTAACTCATATAACCGGCAAACCTACGCATTCAAATCTTCGTATAAATTGCTTATTAAAGTATGTATCGAGATCGACCGTCAAAATACTGCAAATGGTAAATATGTGAACTGCAGATTGTATTAAGGGTCATCAACCTTTATAGGGAAGTAGACCAATATGTGCCAAAAAATTTCGATGCATTTGTAACAGCGTAGTCATGCTAAACATACAGGACGTTTGTTACGCTAATTAATTTCAATAATTTCGTAAATTTCTATTGCAGTATATTCGTATCCGCAAAATAGCTTGTTATTCAATAAAGGTTTGTATAAAATAACAATAAATAATATAGCACCCATAAAAAGAAGGTATTTCAATTTCTATCTGTTCGATGTAGTATTTTACAGAATGAAAAAGAAATATGGACGTAAAAATCCCTTGGGCATTTCATGTACCGTTGCTCAGATCCGGAATGCACTTTTCTGAATTTTAATTTTTTTTTTGGGAAATAAACGGGCAAGTGTCGGTTAGACCAAGATGCAATTAACAATCTGATTCTCAATTAAAGTATGGACTAACCCGCGCCCTAGCAAGGAATTTAACCTTTCAACCTATACCAATAAGGATTTAACTTTGCAAGATTTCAGGAAACTATCAATTAACCTACTTGGTACAATGCAATAAGTTATAAAACCACTCGAAAGCATATAAAATAGCCACTTGATCTGTAGATAATTATTGTAATGTGTTAAAGGGCATTACCATTGAAATGCGGATGTGTAATTATTTTAATTACTTTTTATTTATTGTTCGTAATGCAGACATGCTTTATACGTGGTCTGTTAAAGAAGTGCGCGCAGATATGAATGAAAATCGAGATATACCAGCGTATGTAAATAATATGTTAGTAGGTAAACATCTGGTTTAAGCGTGTTTCCTTCCTCAGTAATTTATGGTAATTTTTCTCTTTATCATCATCTTGTTAGCCAACTTACAGTTCTTTTTTTTAATATATTCGCAAATCGCGATATGTTTTGCTGTCGGTATCTACCGTTTTTTGGCTGTGTTTTCTAATGCATTTTGTGTCTGACGCTCATCTAGTTTCCAATTTTCTCTCATTTCCTTGGTAACGACCCAAATTGTTATGCAGTTTGCATCGGAATTTCCAAACCGTTTTTTAATTAAATTTGCCGAGGACGTGTTGACGACCTTTTCTTAGCATACATCGGTTTCGACGGTGATCAACATCTATGGCGGAAAAAGAAACGTACTTTCTTTATACAGTTTTTATTGATTTCAGTTCACTTTTATCTATAACCAATTCAAACGTTTGTAATGAATTATTCCAGTAGCGTTTCTTTTGAGCTAGTGAATTTTCGATTAGGAAAGTTATTTGCTACGTGGTCACGTGTGTATTTACGTATTTGCATTTTTTTTTTGTAATTATTCACTTACGTGCGAATCTTTCATAAGCGAAATTTCGTATTGAGTATAATTTGCTTAAACGGGCTTGTGGAGTGTATGACGATTTCAAGATGTATGAAACTGAAGGAGTGCCATCATATTATGGAAATTTTTATGTCACATTTCCGGAGAGGCTTGGCATCGTTTATATATTCGCGCCCGGTCCAGTCTGAAAAATGTCACTTAATATGGTAGCCGATTTAATTACGATTTGTGCAAAACGTTTATGTACATTATTTATGATCAAAGTGTCTGCAGATTGATCTCGATTATGTAAAGTAAAATTACAGTTCTTGTAACATACTGTACTTATTACAGTTAACCGATTCCATAGAGGAAAATGTACTCAACCACCATATATTTATACCGTTTCATTCAACGATTAAAGAAATAAAGTG